GTGTAATATTACGGCTCCCCGGTGATAATTTACGTACTGGGGTATTTTTTTTATTTTTGGAAAAGTTGGGGCATTTTTTTTGGCAGTCCCGCCACATAGTGGATATTTGTTAAGGTGTAGCCACACCATCTTGTGTACCCAATCATTTTAGCAGGGGTTGTCTAACACCGTTACACCTTAGCTTATTAGTGGTGCGACAGTCTTTCGGATGATCGTCGTAAAGGGAACACTTGTTAGGCTAAACAGGATACGTCGTCAAATTGGTCCATCATTTATGCTCGATAATGGCGAAGGTGCATTCGCATCCTTCGATTTAGGTGCATTTCTGCTCTGCGCTCGTCGACGCAAGTCGTCTTCGACGCGTGTCATGGATGACTGAGTCTCAGAGTCGAAAGAAAACCTGAAGAAAGCCTGACGAATAGTCCGAAGAAAAGTGTGAAGAAAATGTATGAAGAAATTGGATAAACTCACTTTTGATATTGGAATAGTGTAATGGGCGAGGTCCCATAAATATATTCACATATGCTGTGTGTACCATACATATTGTGTACCTGTTCACCATATATAGTTGCATTTCCCCTTTCAAATTTGTTGTAGCAGAACTGGAAGTACTTGTCAGGTTCAGGAAGTTAAAAGCCTATTGGCTTTGACATTAAATGCCACTTCATCTATCCTCTCCTCTACGTAAGTCAGCGGCCCAATGGAAGCGAGCAACACGCGGTGAGGCGTGTCAGTTGAACTAAGTATTCCTCGGAAAGTGTGTGTACACAGACGGGCAATTCCCGTCACACGTACACCTTCCACATCTATGTTATTTACAACTACTCACGACGGTTTAGAGTAATTTCAAAAACATAGAATCTAATGATGACATTGGGATTCGATAGCGGAGACACGGTGAGACTCGAGGGCTGTAATACTAACGTCAAGTAATGAATACAAATTCAACATTTAAACGTATATAAAGAAGTTCTAGTTCAAATCGAATTTATGAACGTGGTATTGGTGCACATTGATTGCGTGCCAATCAATCGGGTTTGTGCGCAATTTCCAGTAAATCCACCTGGTGTTGTGCGACGGTTCGCCGTGAATCTTGTACAGCTTTTGCTTAAAGAATCCGCATTAAATTATGCACAGAGAAGCGAGCCACGAGTCCTTTAGGTGACAAAGGACTTTGAGTGTTGTTTCCTTTCATGGCTTCTTATACAATCAAGATTATGTGCTATGGAAAATTTACTAATTTACTGTCGCCTATTTTACCGTCAAAGAAAAGAAATGCGATTGTAGCAGTCGGTATGACCTAGCATACTGACAACACAAGTACTACTTCGTATAAGTGCGGTCGGAAGTCATTACTATATTTATCACTCTGAGATTGCGATTCGACAATATTGAGGAATATTCGTAATATATGAATTCGAGAGGAAAGTCAAGTCGAAACGAAGAATATCTTGTATATGTATGTTAGTGAATACAAGCTTTAGTGATGCAGTTATAGTCGACTGTTGCGGCTCCCTTATTTTCAGGAACTTCTTTGTAAATACCGGGTAGGCTATCGCGGAATTTCGAATACAGTTCACATGTATATCATTCTATGTAGCACATAGCAATACAATTAAAAGTTTGGTCGGCAAGAATGTTAAAGTCAATCACAGGTTAGATACCGGACGTCGACGCAATTACTCAAACCTTGAGCGAACAACATGCTATGTGCTGGTCAACGTACTGTATAGCATGCTTTGCTGAGTGGAAAGAATGCTATGTGCCGGTACATCTCTACAAGTACTCACCAATGTTGAGGTCTCGTGACCAAGGCTCTTGTCGTTGAAAAAGGCTTCAGCAAATTTAGAGCAGTCAGCCGCTCTTACATATATCACCAAGCTTCAAGTGACACCAAAATTTCATTCCGCCCATCTTTGCATTCCATCTCCAACTTTGTTTAGGCCAGGTAGAGAACCAATTGATTGAATGCCGCTTAGGTTCTCTTTTTTACTGAAAAGTCCTCGCAACTGTCGTGCACGAAGCTTATAGTGTGACCAATGAGAACACGGTCCACTTTTTGGCGATCTGAAAGAAAAATTAATCTGGATATACTGCCATTTACACAGGATAAAGTTAATCTGTAAATCAGTTTTAGCTGACAATATTTTTAGCAGTAATTAGTTAGAAGGAGAAAAGTCAATGCACTCGTTGCTTGTGATAAAGAAAAACACCATTTAGATTCAGCCTGGCGTTTCGACAAATTCCACATTCTTTTGTTTAGAAATAGTCGCATTTTTATCTGGTTTAGCCAAGATTCGATTCCTCATGATCCACTACTCGACACCACGCTCTAGTCTAAATCCGGCTAAATTCGCATATTTCGACGAAGACACGTCATGCAGTATTACACGGGGTAATTTATTGGTACCCAATGCACGACTCAATATCCGTCTTCAGTCCGCCACATGGTCGCTATTCGCAATTAATAGTAGAATTGTACTGCTCACTCTTGTATGTCGTCAAATTGAAGCCCGATCCTCCACCTGCCAGAAAAATTGCTGTGCCTTGGGTCTTGCTTTTACGCGAATATTTGTCTAACGTGATGGTTTGCTGGATCTTCGAATTCCGACATATCTGTGGCAAATGAGTCATCCAAAACCTGAGATAAGAAAGAGCAGATTTTTTTGAGAATCTTATTTTGAAAATCTTCTATTAGTCACAGAACTCTTCTACATGCTAAATATACGTCCGTGGCTCTTAAACAAAATCCATCGATTTTCTTCAAAGATAATTCTTCTGTACATAGACGATTTACTTGGTCCGTTGTCGAAGGGTTCCCAGTAAGTATCAAATTTAAGCGAATACTTTTAGCTAAAGCTTTTGTAGCCCATTGACAGACGTTGTTCAGCAGTCTCTTCTCACCGACTAAGCTGATTCTACAGTGGCCTCCGCCTTTAGCCGCTCGGTGAGTAATTTGAATTTGGTCACCAGTTGCCACCGTCGGCATGACACTTGTATCCAACGCAACGATAGTGTATATTTTTCTGTTTTTGAAGCGAGCGCAGTGAGACTTGGTGATAAATTAATCATGTTGGAGAACTCTGTTTGTTTGCACACATACATTTTTATACATAATTGCACGTGAAACTCTAATGAAATGAAAAAGAGATGTTGAAATGAACGTTTTGACGGGCTTATGGATCAAGATGGTTGCACTGAGGTTTGTAACACGTCGGCTTTACATTTGAACACACACTATCCATAAAAGTGCGTAAAATTTTGGTTCAAAACGTAATAGTCTCATTTATTGTACAATATAATATCCGCATGACAATATTTTATAAATTTTTTTCTTACTTATGACTTCTGAGCCAGCATTTGGATATACTATTTCGTCTGGCTTTTACCTGCAAGTATAAATAACTTCAATTTTTCATTGTCTATTATAGTTCAGGTATATCGAAATCAAGATACAAGTACAAAGCCAGCGAAAGCCATCTGACCCATCTGACGTGAGCGCCAGACGGTTTTCCAACCTGTGCGTCCTAGCGGCCTCAAGGTGCCTTACCTCTCCCTCTCTTCTCTCCCATTTTCTCTGTTTAACCTCATGCCACTTCACGTTTGACTTTAGCTGGAAAGAAACCACTTTTTTCTTAAAGTCTCTTTTTCAGCATAAGAAACGTTGTCATTCGTAACACACCATTCAAGGCGCTGACAAACGCCATGCAGCTTCGATTTCCTTTGCCCGCAAGCTACTTTCCCAAATTTGAGATAGTGCCAAGTGAAGTCCAGAGCTATCAATCGCTAGCCAGTGATATTGTTCGAGAAACAAAGCGAGATTTTGAACATTATGTCAAGGATGGTCGTAACTCCATTGATGTACACACGTGGAAGTTAGTGAAGTCTAAAGAGCGACTTCACTGCTACCGAAAGCAAGGTAAAGGTTCTACAAGGTCGAATATAAGCTCTGTGAGTAGCGACAACGTTCAGTCGCGACCATCACTGAGTATTTCGAGTTCGCAGGATCGATCAGGGCTCGACGATATGAACAATGTGTCAGTTTCTGTTCGTTCATCAGATGATGGCGAACCGAGTCGAAAGAGTATAGCGCCGACAGTGATCGGCTACGGTATTTTGGATGGCACAGTAGACGATATAGTTTACGGACTGTATCAGACTTCATCTAGCGAGATGAAGACGTTATCAAAGTTCCTTGGCGATGACTCGCTCATTGATTGCGCCGTTCTTCAAACGATTCGTCAGACACGCTCTTCGTACCTCGGGCTAAAGTGGAAACTATCTCGCACGGTCGGTGGCAACCGAGACTGCTGCTACATGGAATATACTGGAATTTCCGAAGACCTAAATGGTCAGCGTTTTGGATATCACGTACTGGAGTCAGTAAAAGTTCGGAGCTGTCCACATTTCAACGACAATTCCATCGTACGCACTAATATGTCTTTTTGCTTTCTTTTTCGCCCCGGAAAGTTAGTAGATCAAGTCGAAGTGTTTATGGAGGGCGCATACGATTCTTCGGCTGACTTGCTCTCGGCTGGTGGCGTTGGTGACTATCGCAACTCAATGGAAATATTTTTTAACCTTTCAAAAGCCATGATAGGAGCCGAAGCAAAAAAAATTAGTGCACTGGTCGTCAAGCAGTCCGACGCTTTAAAGGCTGGAAGTAGCAGAAATCAAAGTGGCAATAATTGCTTTATCTGTCGCTCAAAGATGGGCTTACTCTCTTCGCGCACAAATTGCCAGATTTGTGGCGCAATTATTTGCAGCAAATGTCGTATCCAGAAGATAACACTCTCTCATCAAGCGAAAGCAAAAGTCTCGTGCTGTAAAATGTGTATGGTCAAAGTCAAGGATCATTCCCCTTTTGCCGGCGACCTTATCGGTGAGCAGCTTGTGAAGCCAACAAAAAAGAGCTTGCTAGAAGACCGCTATAGTTATGACAAAACCAAGGTTAGAATGGACATGATTAACGCGTCAGTCTCGACATTGTCTCTTACTGACTCGGATGTCTCCTCGTCATACCAGTCGTCGTGGCAATCCGGTTCTATTTCTTTGACGCAGTCGGATCTTGACGATAGCTCGTATAGCTCAAACATTAATAATGCTATGATGTCACTCGATCGCAAAATGCCGGCGCTTATGGAGAGCGAGCAATCACTGGTGACTTATCATGGCAAGCAACAGCCTTTACCCGAGCAGCAACAATTTCAACAACAAGTTTTGATGCGACAGCAAATGAAGCAAAACCCTGTCTCAAACACGTCGAGACAGCATCAGTTCGATACGCGCCAAGGATTGTACAATCAAATGCTTGAGCTACAGGTGCAGGCTGAGCGGACATACAATTTGACAAACCAAAATGCCAGCATGATGCATTCGAGGCGATAGAATATACGAAGTGTGGAATGGTAAAGTGTTGTGCTTGGTATAATTGTGTAGCGTAAAATGTTGAATATAACGAGACCGTCCGCAGGGTTACGGCAACAAAGCTTTGAGCTTTAGTAATTCGATCTTGATTCTAAACAGTGTCTAGGATATGCTCGATACCATCATTGAGTCAACGTAGTAGACGAGTGACAGTGGAAACTGTCCTGCACGGAGCCATGTCGATTGAAAGAGTAAAAAGGCTCTTTTTAAAGGAACTTTTTGCCACAAATTAAAGCTTGATGTCGTAATAACATGTCAGACCTTACAGACACAATCGTAAAAAAACAAATTAGCTATTTTTTGGGTAGCATGAAGTCAAGAAGTACTCTCATTCAC